TTAGACATCACTTGTCTTGCTGTTCTGAGTTACAGTAGGGAGAAGGGAATCAGGGAGGGGATGGAGAGAATAAGATAGAAAGTGGTTTCTTAGAGATGGGAGCTCTTCCTGTGCTAACAGAGGTTTTGATCTCAGCCTCAAGTGTGTTTTTCTGACCTACAGACTTGCTCATCACTTACTGATGTCTTCCTTGTGCCCATCTTCCCGTTAACCACCTGGCAACCTTGGACCTCTCTGCTCTTGCAGAAAATAGCAGCTTAGAAGTCTCAGCAATATCCCTGTAGTGTTTGGCCCTCACAGTGAATTTGCTTTGAGTGCATCCTGGTTGGGAAATATGCTAAAAGTGCTAAGATTTTTATTTGGTTTGGTTGAGACACGGGTGGGAGGGCAGGGTGAGTCCACATGGTGTCAAACAGGAAGCTTGATGTAGCTCAGAGTGGCCTCTTGAAAGCATCCCTCCAGTCTACGAGTCTTCTGAAGTCAGTCATTTGGAAAGGGGCTGTGCTATCCAGATTTACAGTGCCTGCTGTGTTTTGTATAACAGAAATGCTGTGGTTGTGTACTGCTGCAGGTTTTTTGTTGTCTTTCTACAGGTTTTGTTGATGGTTTCTGCATTGACCTGTTGCACTAAACTTCATGTCACTGCCTGACAAAACTGGGCTCTTAATAATTTAAAGTTTACTTACAGACCAAAGCCTGAACAGTACAATGTGTTGAACATATATTGGACGAAATAATTTCCTTACTGACTTGTACTCTTTGAGTTTTGCCTTAATTCTCAGCATGTTATAGAAACAATCAGATTTCCTAAAAGTAAAGATATTTGCATTTTAAGTCCAGAGTTGCAAAACTGAGTCCTGTACTTGTACTCTGTTGGGACAAAAATAAAATGGAGGAAAATCTGAAAGAAGCCTTTTGCATCAGTTGAGGCCCAGTGGGAGCTGAGGGTCAAGATCACTCTGAGAATTAATCAGTTCACTAGAGAATATGATAATACGAGGAAATTACGGTGTTGCACTAAGTTTTTTAAGGCTTTTTATTAGTAGCAGAAACTTCAAAAATAAAAAGAGAGTGAGAGAAAGCCTGGGAGCAGAAGTGGCCTGAAGGGGAAATGACCAAGAAAATCTGAGAAGTGTAGAGAATGATGATTCAGGAGTGCTGCTTCACTGCATCTGTGTGAAAATCCTGTCTGTCTCATGAAGGAGGGTGAGAGAGATCACAGTTCTGTGCAATCTCACTTCTTAATGCAGTTTTGAGTAACGTGAAACAGTTCTGGGCTTTCCACTTTTCTTGCAGACTGAGGATTTTAAACAGGGAATGCCAGGCCTTCAGAAAAGTGACTGTAATCACAAATCTGAAAGCAGCATGTGACCTTCCTTGTCATTTCTAACAAGCCAGAACTTTGCAGAAATCTGCCCAGGCAAACTTTTGGTCCTGCTGTGCCCCAGTGCAATAATTATAATGCAGAAACAGCTGATGGGTCACGTCTCCGGGCCTGTGCAGCGTTATGACTTGCTACCTACATTCCATGTTTAGCTTTGAGAGATCAGATGGTGCAAGCAATGTGAGCTAGCAGTGCCTGAGGACATGCTCAGGGCAACACGTCCTGTCCCTCTGCAGCTTTGGTTTCTTTTCTCTACTTCTGTCCCATCCCATCCCCTTAAGGTGATGCATTTTACAATAAATACCAATCTCTCTAGGAGGTGAGCTGCCCCTGTGGAAGCATGTGTGCCATTCCCACTGTGCTGTATGTTAAATCCAAAGGCCCAAGGTTTGTAGTTATTGTCTCTAAAGTAACTGGAGACTCCAGGTGAGCTGCTTGCCCTACTTGCTGGTGGCTCTGGAGCTGTGTTTGGTGCATGTGGCACACGGTGGCAGGCTATTTCAGCATTGTTACTGATGTGATTTAATGAAGCATGAGTGGTATTGGAGGGGGTAAATTTTGTCTTTGTGCATGGGGAAAGGGTCATTGACAAAAGTTTACAAACAAACAAATGAGTGGAAAATGAGGCTTAATTCAGTTGTGTGCGGGAAGAGAGGTGGATATTTTTGAGTTGTGTTTGTTTTGTGCTTAGCACTGTGCAAAAGTTACACCCAGTCCTTGATGTAGGAAAAATTGGATAGGTAAGCAGAAAAGTACTAACTGATTGCCTAAGACTGCTGTTGCTCTGCTAACTCTCCTCATCCAGGGATGCCATGGGAGAGGTGTGGTAGAGACATTTTAGTTGTGGTAGTTTATTTTATTGTGAACCTGTTTTCGCTGGGTTTAATCAGAAAACTGAATTTTGGGTATATTTTTAAATGTTTTTATGGCAGAGATATTGCAAGTGAGCTCTGAGTTGGAGAGAAGGGAGTGAGGGGGGGGGAGCAGGAGGAGGGAGTCTGGAGATGGAGCTGGTTGTGGGTTCATTCCACTACATCTTTTCATCTTTCCCTGGTACTGCAGCACCGCAGGAGTAGAGTTACCAACAACATTCTTGCTCAGGTCTCTCATCCCTCACTCAAATAGAGGGTGTAATTTGACTATGTCTCAGCTCCCATGTGTGAAGGCTGTTGATGAAACTATATGTATGTGCATTTTTAAGTACAAACAAAAACCAAACCCAAACAAACACAAATCTCAATTCAGATCTGTTCCATGATCCTGGATCACCATGTGGTTGTTCAAACTCTAGAACTGGCATGAGGCCGGAGGGAGAACACGTGGCCAGAGCTGTGGGGTAAAGTGAGGACTGGCAGTCTGTCCTTCTGAATGACAGCTGTGGCTTACATCAGGTTAAATCAGTCTGTACGCTTCAGGGTGAGGCAAAGCAGAATGGATTAAAAGCAGGTTTTCACTTCTAGTCTTGAGTTTCCTGCAATCCTACATCAGCTTGTGGGTGCATGTATTTCTGCATCCCAGCTGCCATGGAAAATGAGAGACATCTTCTTACAGGACAGTTCTCACTTGTCAGTATTTACTGAAGTTTTTCTGATCCAAATGGCTGTGTCCACAGCTGTCATGGATAGATTGTGAATCTGGATTTTAAACTCCTGCTCCTCCATTCCTATCAGCTGTTTCCGGTCACACACAGGTTAACAGTGAGGCCTGCTGGCTTGCTTAATGGGTGGCCTGGCGCTGCCTTTGGGCTCAGGCAGATCATTTCTATTGGCCAAGGTTATCTCCTCCTGACCTTGTAGCCAGAATTCAGCTTCCCGTTTGCATGGTAATTGTGAAAAGGAGGGCTTCTGAAAGAATTTCTAAAGGCTGGAATATCCTTTCTTGTTTTGTGAAAGCCGTGTTTTGTTTTGCTTTTTTAATCACCACTCTGAAGGGGAAATTAAAGTGCCGTAATGTTAAGTTTGCAAATTCAGAGAAGGTTGTGTTTAAAGATTCTTTTTTTTCTAAAATCAATGGTGGAGACTATAAATCTAGAATGGCATGGGGCCGCTGTACTCAATCTACCTTTGCTACTGTACTTTCTTGGTTGCTTGCTCACTGCACACTTGTAGCTTGCTGTACAGGATGCATGGCATCTGAATTCTTCCTAGCTGTAGCCTTTTGTACCAAAATGTCTTTTACCTTGGTTGCAGTTGGTTCAGTTTACGGGACTAAATGTGTTTGCGTGCTTTTGGCATGAACAGGGATTTCTGTTACCTTTGTAATGGAATGAGGCAGAGGGATTAGTGGGGAAAACGGGGAGAGACGGAGGAGTTGAATGGGGTTTCTTTTATTTTCTGGAGTCATGAGGCTCCTCCCGTAGCAGAGAGGGAGCACAGTACACGGGACCTGAAGACCTTTAAAGTACATGCTGAAATGGATGCTGGGAAGATACAGTACAGTGCTTGGGCACAACTCCAAGGCTCCCAAGGCAAGTAATATTTAAACAAGCTGAACAGCCCCTTTCGGCAAGCAGCAGGAAATCCAGCACTGAGCTTTGTGTTGTTGCATGGTCAGCAGAAGATAAAAGCTCAGGCTATGCAGCTGGGGTTCCCTCCTATCACTGGATGGCAAACTGTTAAAAAAAGATAAAAGAACATAAAAGGACAGGGGGTCATCTTATTGAAAAGCATTCCTTCATATTTTAAGCCGTCAAAGTACTTTGAAATACATTGAGCCTGATGTAAGTTAGGAACAGCACCATCGGGTTGTGTTGGAACCCTTACATCAGTTGGCAGGCAAAAGATGCGTTTGTCCCTCTGCTTCATCAGAGATAAAGATTTAACATGGGTAGGACTGTGATATGCACAGGTGCCTCACCACAAGCCCCACAGCAGGCAGGAGCTTCCCAGAACAATTTTTTAGGAGCAAGGCGTGTAATGGTGGGTCTGCTGCTGACTGAGGGTCTCATTCTAAAATGCAGTCAGCATTCAGCCATATACAGCATTTCCTGGTCCCACTTTGTGTAGCTCATCCTTGGTTAGGGACTATTTTAACAATGAGGAAGAGAATTTAAATGAATGAGATTGCTAGTTCAAGTCTTCTAATCAGTATTTACTGTGTTCCTCCCCTCCGTCCCTCCTCCTTTTTTCCTGCATCACAGCACTAGTGTCTTGGGAAAGAAAATGCTTCAGAGCATTTGTTACCAATTTAGCAGCAAGTACGTGCTCAAATTCGGGATTTCTGAGATCTGTGTGTGCCATATGTAGGCAAAATGTAGTACTTGCAAGTTCCAGTAGAAAGGAATAAACACAAATTTGCTGTTCTGCAGATAGTGTTTCTTTAATCTAATGAGACTTACATTTGTGCAGCCTTTTTGTTTTGGTAAGACGGTTAACCGTCCTCCCTGGGGTGCCTAATTGCTTATCATGAACTAATCAGTCCCCTGGGTATATGAAGGGATGAAACACTGCCAAGATAGAGCCTGTGACTTCCCCCAGAGGTGTGATAACCCTTCCAATTACCCCACCCTTCAGGGAGCCAGCTTACTGCTCTTTTAGAGACCTTGTTATTTCAGAAATTGTCCATGTTTGGAGATTTTAGGAAGTTTAAAGGGGTATATTAACTGAGAATCTTTTGAACCTGTCAAATTTGTATTGAATATCGTTTCAAGTTTGGTGTGAAAATGCTGAACATGTTTCTGTTTATGAAAGTGCCTACCTTCATAGCCCCCATGGCCTGCCAGACCCCAACAGATAAGGAAAAGGCCAGTTTCTGTCTTCAGCTGTTAGTAGATAGGGATGGCAACATCTTCTAGCTTCAGAAACCCTGTTTGAAGTTCACTTGAAGAAATGAGTGAAACAAATCTGGTGGTGACTCTTTGTTTTTGGTAGAATGATAGTTGCACGTTACTGTTTGTGAAATGAGTACGTAGGTTAAGAAAAGTATTTCACCTTACAGTAAAAAAATAATTCATTTTACTAGTGGTTTTGCTTGCATTCTCCTTTCAGTTTCCTGTTTTAACTCATTCATAAGACATGCTTGTCTGCTGTACAGGTTGAGATGGCTACTGATGGCCTGAATTCTTCTCTTATATCTTTTTATATTGAATGGTTGAGTTCCATGAGGCATATAAAGCTTGCTACAAAACAATAGTGTTTGAACTGGAAGTGAAAAACAGCTCATGCCATCTAGCACCTGAGTGAAAATATGAGTTCTCATGTTGAACTTTCTTTGTCCTTTACTTTTGCTCTGAATGAGCACAATTTTTGTGTGAAATTTGGAGGATTGAATCTGTCAGTTGGGTAGAAACGTTTTTTTCCTTGAAAGATTTGCAACCTAATCAATGAATAATATCCGATTTTTTTTTTTCTTTTGTGGTTCTTTTAAGATACCTAAGGTTTTTTTCACTTCTGGTTGAAGAGTATATTCTAAGTGACCTTAGCAAGATCTATGTAAATAAAAATACTGTTATAGTGTATACTGGCTTAAAACTTTAAAGCAAGGTAATTTCATGCTTAGAATGAAAAGAAGGTGGCTGTGTGGGCGTGTATGTTTATATGCCTGAGAAAATGTAAATGTGGAAGCATCACTCCTCAAAAGAAGTGTGACTTTCGGTATCGTAGGTCTGATTATGATATTTCAATCTTGCTTTGTTATGTGTGCATATATGAAAGTGATTAGTTAAGTTTCCACTGGCAAACTCTTGCTGTTCTCCTGCAGAAATTGGGGTGGGTGCACAGGCCACTTGATCACTTCTTGTTGCTGTTGTTCAGTTTTCTCTATTTGCAACTACTACTTGACCCAGAACTGGGTTGAACCTATACACAGTTCATATGAGTTTGTTTCAGGCTAATGTTTTTGTTAAATATATATCAATGGAGTCAGCAGAAGGAAATTAATTTCCCTTTTTGTATGTGAATTGTTTCAGGAATTGTCTATATCATCTGTTTCATGGAAATGTGTGAAGCTCTAGCAGTAGAATTGGTTTTTGGAAGGAGAGGGTGGTTTTGGACTAGCAGCAGACGTTTTTGGCTGGAGGAATAGCAACTTGAAACTTCACTTACTGAAGAAACCTGTTCACAATTTTGTCTGTTTTTTTTTTTTTTTTCCCCAGCGTTCCTGAAATAAACTTCCTGCAATTCTTTGCAGTGTGCAGGTGTCCAGACTCCCCTTTACTCATGGTCGCCTGTGAAACCCGTCAGGCAACTGAAGGCTGTACCTAAAATTCTGCTGGCAGTGCAGCACACTGCAGTGGCCTTGATATAGTTACGGTGGACACCTTGTGCAGCCACAGCTGTAGCATCCCCTCGTAGTCCGAACAACTGAGTATTGCGGTCCAGGAGTCTACACGTGTGGAGGACTGCCTGGAATAGAAAAAGGAAAGCTGCAGAGATTGTAAGCTGCTGCTTGATCCGTGTGGCTGTTGTGCCGAGGAACATCAAAACTTTGCTGGATGGATCCGACAGCTCGTTGCAAAGTAGAGGGTCAGTCTTGCTGGTTATTTGCAGTTATTAACCTTAGTGGATTTTAAATTTTTTTGTTTCCTTTGTTTTTATATTTTTCTCTGTATGCCTAAGAGGATTGTGGCCTTGCAAGCAGAATGCTCATGTTCAGGAAACTTAAGGCTGTTTCTGCTGAAGGGCTTTGAAGATCAGCAGGCATTTCCTCCAGGGTTTACAGCATTGTTGAAGGAAACATTCCCTGCAGAAGTCTTCAGGCCTATCCGCCCGACTTTGGTCATTTCTTACCTCACCAGCACGTGGATTATGCTGTTTGCAGACTGTCTAAGCTGCATGATGACCTTCGTGGATTCCTCATGAGCTTTTACAAGGCCAGGCCAGTGTACTTTGTAAAATCCTTTAGAAATGCCTGCTAGGCTTTTAAAGTCCCAGAGCATAGACTATACTACAAGAAACTCGGAAGGTCAGCCACTGGATATGGTTGTGGATGAAGGGGGATTTGTGTATGTGTGTGTATGCAGTTCTTGTTTTGAAAATACATATTTTTTCAGGTCAGATAGAGATATATTGTTCCTGAGAAGGCTTCATGTACTCTCTGATAAAGCTGAGGGACTTCTGAATTCCATAAGAAATTGATGAACAAGATCCTTATGTCCTTTCTTTGCATGTGTGTTGCAGTTTATGAAAATGAACAGATGCTGTTTCATTTTGTCAGTGTGCTGGAAGCACCTCCCACAGGTTACTTGCACTGTGTGTACTTCAAAATAGAAAGAAAACTCATACTGAAGAGTACCACTGGCAAGTAGCTCTGCTGTTTAAAATTTTCCAAGTGGCTTTCCTGTGCAGTTCTCAACTTGGAGAGGCTTGCCAGCACTATCTATTGCTGTAATTAATTTACCTAACTAAACCAAGAAAGAAACTTTGTCTTTCCAAATTTAGAGCTCTGCAAACAAGCCCAAAGGCTACTGGCCAGCTGGTCTAAGCCAGTGGGTGTGCTCACAAAACTCGTGGCACCTTGTTCATAGGTGGTGGGAGAGAGCTATTTTTCTGAAGGCTGGATTTCGTCTTCTTCTGGACGAAGCAATATACCTCAGTTTGAGTGATCTTTGGTACTTTAGCATCAGTGGCAAATACATATGTCAAATAACCTCCAGTAAAATTAAAACTGCTAGTTTGTATCTTTGAACTCTGGTTCACAATACCAGAAGAATGTCAACTGATGGTTGTCTATGCTTAGTATTACATGGAGATTATGTAGTTGGTTTATATCTGTTCCTGGTCCTTAGCCACTGTAGATGTTGGTTGAGTTGAGATCTGCTTGTGCCTCTTATGGTGGGGGGGCAGATGTTGGCTTTGGCTTGTGGGCCTACACACTCAGCTTGGCATGGAGATACAAGCTTAGAAGGAGTGCTACCAGTTACCTTGCTCATGAAAAAGCTGTGTAGGCCTTAGGGTATTGCAGTTGGAGGCTGACATTACAAGTGCCTCCTAGGGTGGATGGGAGAGGGAGGGCTCTATAGCATGCTTCTGAGTCTCTTTGCTCCAGCATCTCTGTCTCTCTCTCTCTCTCCTCCCTGTGGCCTGTGCTCTCCCCTCTGGAAATCTCAAGCTAAAACTCCCTAATTTAAAAATCTATTTTGGGGGAAGGGGGTAGGGATATGATTTGTATTTCTAAACTCTAAATTATCTTGGTTATAGATTGTTGTTGTTGTTGTTTGGAGGATGTGATAAGGGGAATAGTTTGTGTGCTGACCAGAAGCAGAATACAGGAAGATATGATGTTAACAAGGTGGGAGAGAAAAGGAGGTGTTTGTTTAGAAAAAGCCTAGTCACTAAAGCCTGTGGGGCAGAGGAACCCTGCTGATAACACAGATGAAACAGTCTGCCTTTTCCTAACTTTAGAGGAGTGGAGCTTTGTAATAAATGGCTGCCATGTGGCAGCTGTCTCCCAGCTTCGTGAGCCTGGCAGTAGTTAATCCTGTCAGCAAGTCATGCTCCCTGGAAAAGAGCAGTGAGAAGAGCTTCAAACTCTTGAATCATTCTATCTGCAAAATATTTGCATGTTGAATGTCTTTCTGCTTAAAACAAGTTTGGTAATTTGATGTAGGTTTCCATCTTTAAGTAACATTAAAGTGCAGCTGTGTTGGCTTTTAAATAAAATGTTAGAAACGTGTTGAGATATTGCAATTCTTTTCTCTCTTTAAAAAAGTAATTTTCGTTTTGGAAGGTATATGTTCCAGAGTACAAAATGTGCTGTGTAGAGAAGAGACACTGTGTTGCTATCCCTGTATGTTAAAAAATTACAGGTTGAGCATTTGAGATCATGGTTATCCTTAAAAGCTTGAGGCTTTAAAATTAATCTGTTCACTTCAGTTTGCTTTTTGTATTTTGCTGAGCATATAAAGTGTTTGTCCTTTTTCCAAAAGTCAAAAAACTAGAATTTTGACTTAAAAAATATGAGATTTTGTGAAATAATGTAGCACTCTGAGATTTTACAGGCTCATGATAAAATCTTGATGGTTGACAATACTGCCACCAGGAAATGGGTTTAAATCCCTGTAATTTCTACTTTTTCTTTTCTCATTTTGCTGTGTTATTTTGTGAAGCACAAAATATTTTGGAAAGCTACCTGGTACAGTGCTCCAAGCAGAGAGTGCGCTGGCATCTCCTGCAAAGACAGCATGCTTGGGCTGCAAAGGATGAGTTGGGAGCTCTGCAAAAAGCAAGCTGATGTTCTCTGTCTTGGGCTTGCCTGTGTTTGCTAGCATATGGATGCAGTTAGAGTGGTGAAACACCATGTGGGACATAGCTACTCCAAGAGGAGTTTTTTCCTGGAGTTTTTTCTAGCTTATCCTATTTTCAGAATGATTTTTGTAAAATTGCCTGTGCATTCAGTTCCTCTGTGAAACTCTTCAGATGCTCATCTTGGAGGAAGAGAATTGTAACCAGAGCACCACACAAGAAGCAGGGCACTAGCACAGGAGATTTTCTGTATCTTCCTCAATATGATTCATCCTGCCTCTGTAATCCCTGCTGAACCCGTCCTGCACACACACGCAGCTCTGGCTACATGTGAAGAGCAAGTGTGAGGGGGTGAATTGTTTGCTTGTTTCCCTCTCCAGAGATTTGCTTTAAACCTTCACCTCGAGTGCTGGCTCTGAAGCTGCCCTTGGCTGAGCTGCTGGCCATCAGGGTGAGGGACAGAGATGGGGACAGGGATAGGCCCTCCTTCCCTCCCTCCCCACCTCTCTCCCTCCCTCTCTCCCTCCCTCCCTCCCCAACAGCTGCAGGCACCAATTGCCAGGGAGCAGCCCGGCCGCATGGTTTCGTGGCTTTCTTCCTCTTGTTACTAATGTGCCTCCTTGTTTCCGTGATGCTGTGCAGAGGAACAAGCAGACGGATTGTCTCTTCCCAGGGTGGGTGCCCAGGCATCTGCACAGCCAGTTGGTATGGCACAGGAGCCCCTGTTTTTTCAGTGACACCAGGGGCTATTGATGGCAGGCTGGGGCTGTGCTGCTGCTGCTGCACAGATGCTTGCTCTTGGCCCACCTTAAAAGGACAAGATATCCCGTGGTTTAGACTGGCCATATATTGTCAGGGATGTCAGCATCTCCGTCACAGCTACCCAGCTGAGCCCGGTGTCCCACTTCACCCGCCCTGCGTGCCTGCAGCCTCTCCTCAGTCAGAGCTGAAGGGTGCTGTAACTTGGAGCATTTGAAGGGGAGGTCTCTTTTCTTTTCTGTTACTCAGAAATGTTTTCCATCTGGCTCTCCCTAGTGCAATGCATCTAGCTCATCCATTGGGCTCTCAGACAAATATCTCATGCCCTCAGCATAGTACTTGCTTAGGTACATAGGTGATGGGACATTAACCTATAGCTCCCCCCACATCCCCTCCAGGGTTTTAACTCAAGTGGGTTTGTCAGGGCAACGTGAAAATGAAAAAAACCCCCAAGCAACAAACTCACTAAGCTATATTTTGATTGTTTCCTCATTTTGCAATCCTTCACCCCCTCTTCCTTGTCTGAGATGGCAGCAGCAGCAGGAGATGAGGTTTTGTCTCCCAGGGCTGTGCTTCACCAGGATTGCTGGGGCTCCCCTTGGACAGGTGCATCTCCCTTTCCTCGGCCTGTTGGGCGTGCAGGCACACACAGTGGGGTAGGCCATTGGTCCTTGCTTCATCTTCCCCCTGTGCCCCTCTGCTCTCTTGCCTCATCCTGGGCTCCTTCGGGGCATGTGGGCAATGGTTTTGGCAGGCAGTGTGATGCCACTCGCCTGACCTGTCCTGCCTTTGCAAAATACTTGCATCCCGCCTTCAGGGCCCACTCCCTCCAGTCTCTGGCTCTACTCTGGACTCCCACCCTCCGCCACACTATGTTCCAAGCCTGTCCCCTTGCCCAGTGGGATGTAAGCCAGCCCTGGCCCAAGTGAGAGATGCAGCAACCGGACTAGGGAAGACTGATAGTGTGGGGAGAGACCCCGGGCCACGTCCCAAGGAGTGCTGCCCTGTTGCAGCCAGTGCCAGCCCAGGGGAGACGTGAAGGGACTTTCTCGGGTCGCCACTTCATCTAAGGCAAATAAACGGGAGTTAAAGCCAAGAATCACATTGACTTCCTGGAACTCTGCAAGCCGTCCGCACAGCTGTCCCCACTCCCCGAACACATGCAAAGCAGAGCTTATAAGGACAGACAGTGTTGCTTTTGTGTCCTTCCTCAGCCAGTGGGGGAGGGCGCAGGGGAGGAGATGTGCTGGGTAAAGCCCAAGGCGTGTCTTGTTCCGTGTTCCCCCTGCGTTGTTGTGATTCCCAGTGACTAGGGGAAGCCAGACTCCTTCCCACTGGCCTCCTCACAGCTGTGCAGGCAGGCAAGGATGAGGATGGAGGGGTGTTTGCAGTTGTCAACATGGGAAGGAATGGACGGAGGTCCTCTTAGAGCCACTTGTTTTACTCTCCTGTTGTCCTGACTTTATTTTGTTGCCTAAATGTGGTGTTCACGGTCCCAAGTTTGTTAAGCTGTCTTCAAATCTTAATATCCTTTTTGCTTGAGCGAGCTCTTGAAGCTAACTGCAGTTTTGTGACAAAGGCTTCCTGGAGGACCAGGTACTCACCAACAAGCTGATACAAACAGCAGAGACGAGGAGCAGCCCACAGATACCTCTTTGGTCAGGGGAAATAATGCTAAGGTATTAGAAAAGTCTCAAAATTCATCAGCAGCTGCTGATCTAAATGCAGCCATAGGTTACTGCAGTTCTTGCAGTGCTGTGTGTTCTGTGTGGCACTGCTGTCCCCGAAAAGGGCAGCGCTGGTCAGGAACTCAGATCAAACTCTATGAGGAGATTACCAAGTGCGCTGGGCTTTCCTGTTGGGAGCCGGGGGGCTGTCAGGTTTCGCTTTCGCTCGTGTTGCCGGAGCAGCTTTTGCCTGAGTTCTCTTTTCTAGCCTAGCACAACCACAGGCTCCTGTGTGAGGGCTGTTTCCACAGCACACAGCTCTTGCGAAAGGTGCAAACATGGCTTCACTCTCCAAGTTAGCAAATGGAGCACAGGGCCAAGAGGATGGGCATGAATTCATTTTGTATTAAGGCTGTGTGGTGGCTGTGCACATTGCTGTAAACCAGTTAGACCATAAAGGTGAATTTCACCCAGGAAACCCCTGCTTTGCCCATAAGGTGTCTCATTGTTGTATTAGTACAACTTCCTTGTTTTCAGTGTATTGCACCAATGTAATGCCAGAGTATCATGGTGATTCAGAGTTGTTCACTAAAGGCATCAGCTAAGTTCAAATTCTGGCATGCTTTATGGAGAGAAGCTTCTGGTCATCTGAGCCAAAGTCTTGAAGAGCATTACTAGCCATAAGTTACCACAAAGGGACTTTCAAAAGATACATAAAAACTAAGTGCACACATGTATCCCATCATGCTTGCAAGGAAATAAAACAGGAGGAGAAAATATGTTTGAATATTTAAAATTTAGCCTAACTGTTAGGTGTTATAGCAACAGCATGCAAAATAGTCTGGAAATACAGGGATCATCTTGTTCTTGTTTAGTGCTTCTTCCCCTGTCCCACTCCCACCAGAAGATCGTGCATAACTTGGTTTTAAGGCATGTCCATGAGCATTTGGTTCACTTGTTTATTCCATGTCTGGGTGTATCTGTCTATGTGCAAGTTAGACATAAGGATATTGTGGACTCACAGGGTTATTTCGAGAGACAATGTATTATACCTGCATTAACACAGGCACAGTGATTCTTTCACTAATAGCTGAGAGAGTTTATAGAAAGGGAAGAGTTTGTCTTTTTTGGTGCTCAGATATTACCCTTCAGTAGATTTTACTCCTTTTGGTTGTTGTTCTTGTGTTTGGTTTTGTTTGTTGTTTTGGTTTTTTTTTTGTAGAGGAAAATGTTACTTAGAGGTGCAAGTTCAAAAGTTTTGGGGTAGCATTCTTAGTTTTTACTGTTAAGTGAAAAAGCGGCCACTAGATACTCCCATGCCACTCTGTTTCTGTGCTTGTCTTCCTTTCCCTGTGGGCTGCTCTATACTGGTGCTCCAGCAGTGATGATGGTGAGGTGACACACCCAGTTGTAATTTTCTAGTGCTGGAGTGCAGAGCCAGCACCAACATTTCAGTAGCAAGGGCAGAGTTGGTATTAAAAAAGGTCATTTGGGAAAACTTTGTTCATTTGGTTTTCTTTTGCCTTGAGGCAGTGCTTTGAATAGTGTTAACCCTTTTTTTCTTCCCACACGATGCCTTTTCACCCTATTTCCTTCCTGCCAGCTTTGATGGAAAGTTATGTTCAAAAGGTAGTGCGGGTGATAGTGTGCATCTCTGTTGGGGTGGGAGTGACCATTTGTGCTTGGGAATGTTGCCTTGTGCTCTGTGTAGAAGCCTAGTGGGAGACCAGTGCATCAGAAGCAGTCTGGAGTGCAGTGTAGCGATTCTTAGGTATTATAATCTCAAGGGTAAAGAGTAAACTTTGTTTATTCAAATGTGATATCTCTCTTTGAAGTTCTCTTCTTGTCTAAATTTGTATACTAGCAGGTCTGGCCTTCATTTAAATGATCCTTGGGTTTTTTTCGTGCCACTTAGAAAAAAACAGTGGGAAAGCCTTGACTAAGTTAATAGTGTTGCTAAGATGGAAATGATGAAGAAGGCTCAGGATTCCTGTTTGGACCTCATGGGAAAAAATGGTATGAAATGTGAAGGGGGGGGTGAATGTTCCTAAACCTGTCATTTCTTTTCCCTGTTTCTTCTCCCCCACTGTGTTCTGTACTAAATACTACAGTATGTTTAATGAAACCAATAAAACTATTTGGCCAAGAGTGTTAATCTTTCCCTGGCCCAATTAGTGCATGGCTTCTACTTTTAATGTTGATGTGGATTTTTTTCGGAAGGCAGAACAATAAGCAGCTCTGTGCTATGTGTACCAGGTTTTCCCCCTTCTTGCCTGTATTGTGCATTTCTTCCTATCTATTCCAAAGGGAGAGATCATGTGCAAAGACAGTGGAGCAATCTGGAACAGAGACTTGTACCAGCTCCCAGGGGCCGGGACATGCTGCTCTGTGCTTGTGTAGCTGCCTCTCAGTTGCAAGTCAAATGACTATGACTCTGAAGACTCATCGTTTTTTCTCCTTTTTTCTTCCTTCTCCTGTGGCCTGTGTTCTCCTTTTTGCTTCATTTGTGATGCTCTTCACCAGAAGGAGAAACAGCTGTAGCTGTTTAGAGTGGTCTTAAAACAAACAAACAAAAAACCCCAAATAAATACACATAAGCAAAGTGGGGGGAGTAACTGTTGGTGGGCTCAGCTTTAACATACAGTGGAGTCACACTTTATCCCAAAGGAGGAAACAGGTCTAGCAAGTGTCTTCCTGTACAGACTGAATGGGAAGTAACAAGGTTTTTTTCTTTTTTTTTTTGTAAGCTCTGCTTTTGCAGTGTCTCTCCCATTAGCTGGATATGTGGGGCATTAGGGGTGGACCTCTGTCAGAAGCAGGAGCCGTAGGCCCCTCAGGGCTCTCTGTGGGATGGAAGTTGCCCCAGTTTCATGTTGTCAGCAACCTCATCAAGTGGAAGGAACACGTTCCTGCAGAAAAGACAGGTCTCTTGGTGTGGCCCTGCAGAGAGGGCTGCATTGTCTTGTTTGGTCCTGTCCCCCCTACCATTTGTCAGTGCTCTTGTTTAGTCGCTTGCTCTCTGTTTTTCCTCCTTTTCACACAGGATGAATGTGACACTGGGGGGTTTCTTCAAAGTAGAAGATGACTTGAATGCTTGTGACCACTTCCCTGTTTCCTAGAGGCTTTGGTCCGATGTTGAATGCAACCTGAGGCTGCACTGTTTCTCAGCTTATTTCCTGTTTATCCTTTTTCCTGGAGGTCTTTGTTTTCTTTTGGGGAGAGGGAGGAAGGAGGCTCTGTCAGCACACCCTCCACACCGGGGCATTTGGTGTGAGCTGGGAGGGTTTACAGTCCTGAAGGCAGTATGGCATAGGGCATCTGTGCTGGTTGCTGCCTGTCTGATTCCCTGAGTTTCATAGGTGCTGTGGAAGAAAATCCCAACACTTCCCCATCCTCAGTGATGCTTTTTTTTAAAGAGGAGGAAAAAAAACCCAAACCAACCAGCCTAAAGCAAAAAAAAACAAAAAACAAGGCTGCAAGAGAAATCTCTCAGTATGTTCCTGCCTAAAGGCTCTCTGCCACGGGTTTTCCCACAGGAAGGAGTGATTTGGCCCAGCGTTCTTATTGTTTCTATATCCTATTGCAAATAGAAAGTTTGCTTCTGAAATTTGTGTGTGCTGCTCATGCAGTTGTCTTTGTTTCAGTGGTGCATTTTTGTTTCATGCAAAAGAGTGGAAAACACATAGGTAAATAAAGGCATGCAGCAGCAGTTCAGTTGCAGTCTCTAGACTGCTTTCAGAATTGGAAATTTTTAATGTGCAGAAAATGTTTTTAAGGACAAGATCTCTGACTACATATATTTGCTTGCCTTTGGAGGAAGATATTTGGATTCAGAAAGGAAAAATAACCTTTGGCTCATAGAAACTATGAAAGGCTGTAATAGTATAATATGTAGTTTTCCTCCTGAAAAAAAAACAGAGAGCAAGTTGGCAGGTTTTTCTGAAACAGTAGGTAGGGTTTTTTAATGTGCATATATGCCTGCCTGTTCTGCCTACTCTCTCTGTGCATTTCCCATTTTCAGTGTTGCTAAAGGCAATGCTGGGAATTCTGACTGTAGTTCTCTGGGAAGCTACTAAGCTGTCTTAAAGTTACCTTGGCAAACACAGGAGTCTTCACAGTTACACAATAGGCTTTTTTTTTCCAGGATGTATCAGCGGTGACATTAATGTGCTAGGTATTGACTGAAAGGGGAATGAATATGTGTGTTTTGGAAGGAATTGTGTATTTTGTTTGTTGAGGGTTTTTTAAGGACTAAAGCACTTACTTTTTTTAACAGAAATGCCTCCAAATAGTTTAATCTAGTCCTTATTTTTGATACTGCTAAGCAGATAGAGCAAGCAGTTTTAGATTTAGGCCAGTCCTGAAAAGAATTCTGGTGCTTATGCTATTCAAAAGTAAGTCAGCTACCACTTAAGTGATTAAAATAAGATGGGAGCAGGGTGGAAAGAAGTAATTATATTGCTCTTGAATGAGATTGGCCTTTTTTTTAAAAAAACCCAAAATAACAGTAAAGTTACAGCAGTTACAGTAGTTAACACAAAATTAAGGCAAGCAAATAAATGGCTCCCATAATTATTGGAGAAAACACAGAAGGATGGGTGCTTGGCCTCACCTTGGAGTAAGGAATCCCTGTGTTGTAGGGCTCACTATACAGAAAAGTACAAAAATAATTAGGGAAAAGTTATTTTGAGTTGTTCAGGTTAGTCTGTTTTTCTGGTTCCGAATGTGCAGATGGAAAGCAGTGTTTGTTAAGAGGTTGGTGTTTTCCTGAGCCTCACACTACCGGGGCTTAGTCAGGTCCCAGGTTTTGTCTCTAGACTGCAGTGGCTTGCTGTGCCAGATCATCTGTGTGCCACTCCTTAAAAGGTTGGCAGCTAAATGTAGGAAGGTTGAATCCACTGCTTTGTCTGGCATGATGTGAAATGAGGAACCGTTCAACACAAGGTGGGCCCTTTCTTTTTGCCTGCCTATGCTTGGGTGCTCCAGATTGTTGGCAGTTGGAGTAACATAGTCGTTTATTGTTTTCAAATGCTGTTCAAACAGCATTTGAAGATGTGTTGCATGACTGATTTGCATGTCATCCTTGAGAATGTAATTTTTTTAAAAGGAAGAAACCCAGTTAACTGTGGTTTGAAGGCAATTGTCTCTGTTATTTTGATAAAAGGAAAACCTGTACTGAGCTTACTGGTTGTTATTTGTAAATCTGAGATGATGAAATGTCCATAGTGTGTTTGTTTTCATAATGTAATAGACATTTTGCTTGTAAGGTTATAAAGGTGTATTTCTCTGTTAAAAACATATCAGTAGTTTTCCATATTACAAATAACCTTTTCCAGAGGCTATAGCCATGAGTGCTGTGGGCAGAGAACTCCTGTTTCTCATGTGTTGATCATTCCCCATCACTTCTAAAACTGATGTTTAACTGCCCTGTCATTCTCCAAACCCCAATGATAGCATGATACGTTTGTGGTTTTTAGAAAGGGGTGTGGAGGAATTCTGTTGGTACATACAATGGTTACTTACGTCTTCAACTCATGTGGGAACCTTGGGCAGTGGATGTGAGGAATGTGCCAAATGGTCCCAGAAACCTCTGTAGTAATTTCACCACAGCTAGAAGGAAGAAGGTGGCCACCCTGAATTCATGTATTGGAGTAAATATTAATCTTCCAAGAAGAGAAGAGAGGAGCAATGCATGTATGAAATTGAATCATCTAAATTCTCTAGGTGCAGAATATTTTCCAACTTCTTAATCGAATGTCACTACTGTCAATGATAGTCTAGCTTGCTCTCTCTTCTTCCATTCTTTGTTGGCTTAATATTGCAGACCAAGCTGGTAGGGGTTTCTTTGTTTGCCCAGGTTTTGCCAGTGGCAGAAGCAGCAGCATCTCCCAGCCCAGTGCCTGGGCACTCATGAGAGTGGGTGCTTGGATGCACTGGCACTGTGGGTATGTTTCTGTTTCTGTCATCAGACCTGTCTGATAGTCAGGGGACCACTCAAAATAGAGGGCTTTGGTCTTACTTTCCTAAAATGGCTTCCATAAAAGCTTACTCCCTTTCTCTTTTTTCTTTCTCCCTCATGTAGTGCTAGAGGGTGCTGCTGAAGAAGAGGCTGAAGAGCCAGACGCAACTCTACATACTACACTAAGTGAAGAGACCAGCACCCCAGAAGAGAGCCACAGTCAATCAGGGGAGAAAGATGAAGGTATTTGGGTCAACTAGCTCTGTGACTCTATAAATTAGGGCATTGATTAAGAATGTAGAAACATTTCTTACCCATCCATACCTTATTGTGTGAAGAGTATAAGATACATTGAGCAAAAGCACTGATGCATACATTTCTTTTGCCATCTCTAACTTTTATCTGTCTGAAAAGTATTAAAATAGTAAAAAGTAGTAAAATAGGTTGAACAGAAGCATGGGCACATAAATTCTCAACTACCACTGCAGGCTTCCAAACTAAGATTTTCTTGGCTCACAGTAACTTGGCATCACATAACTTAGCCTCAAAAAACCACCTGTTTATAATCCTCAAACTGATGTTCCAAAGACAGTATTATGCAGAGATCAAATGTTCACAGACAAACGTGTTCCTCCTTGTTCACCCTCACATACTCTTCTGTTGCAGTGACTTTCTCACAACACACATTAAAATTCTATGCTTTCCACCAGATGTGACAGAGCAGTAGACTTGCAGGGTGTTCCTGTTTGTTAGGGAGACCTCTTGGGGGGGAAAGGAGTGTTTAAATTGAAAGCATCTTCCTTTTCAAACTTGTAAAGAGGAAAATAGAAGGCCTTTCCTGTATGTTTGACATGTCTGAAACCAAGGATGAGATTTTAGGTGTATTTTGATATCTGAGATAGGAGCATCCCTGCTGCTTACTGCATGTGATGGAGAAGTTTGAATCTTGACAGCATTAGCTGTGATGTTAATCATGTATGCAACACATATTCTGCATGGACTAGTATGGCTTGGTAGACCAAAATCACATATGTGCCATTAGTGGCAGTAAAGAGGCAATAGGGAGGATACAGGGTTTTGTTTTGGTTGGATTTTTTGCTACTTTAGCTAATTCCGTACACAGAGCTGGCTTAAACCATGCTTAAAAGAGAACCCAGTACCCTACACTGTGTTACTAATGCCTTAATTGTGCAGTCCTGTTTAAAACACATTGCCTGCTTGAATGATTGTGCTTGCCAGAGTGTGCATTCATCAGTACTGCTCTACTAGTTCATGGTGATCACAAGGTACCACAAATAATACCATTTCACAGCAAGAGAGTGTAAAGTAAATCGCTCTATAAGCTCCATTTTGAAATAAAGTTGAAAATGAAGAAAATGGGACTGTCCTATAAGAAAAATGTACACTTTGTCATATGCATTCCAATATGAGAAGCTTGTCTTGTTATAAGAACTCCAGTTATTATGGCCTGTTGCCTGTGCTCCATAATGATCCAGCAGAGTGTGATGTGAGTTACAGGCAGCTGAAAATACTGTGGGTTGAGGGTTTTTTTAAGATGGCCTAGGAACTCCTATGTGTGTTTTTGTTTTTAATTCCAGAGAAGCAGCTGGAAAGCTTAAACAGCTATAAGGCATCACCAAGTTCACCAAACAGTTTGGACGGAGCAGACTTGTCCTCCATTGACGCCATGATGTCAGCAGTGATGAATGTGGGGAAGATTGCTGAAAATGGCGGGAATTCTCAAAATGTCAAATCCCCTTCAAAGTCTCCTGCACCAAATCGGATTGGCAGGAGGAACCAGGTATGTAAACCCAAATGCAGGAAGGGCAAAGGGGCAACAAGCAGCTGCCTGGAAAGTGATAAGATGGAATTTACGTTTCTTTGATTGTTCTGCCTTTTTTCCCCTTAGCAGTTGTTTCTTGCCTCTGCTATTGTTCCTCTGTGTATGTTTTCTGGTATCCCTCCAGACCATAACTTAGAAAACTGGGAATCAGCAGGGTCCGCTTGCTTGGACTGACACATAAAACATTTGAGCATGAGCTCCAGTGCCATGCAATGGTGAGCTGGTCTAGCAGATGCCCCTAGCAGCAACAAAGTCACCTAAGAACTGCCGTTTTGTCCTGCTGCATCTTTTTGCCTGGTTATTGCATTCGCATAATCTCATGAAGTGTGTAGCTGCTCTGCAGAAGATTCTAGTGATTTATGGTAAAAGGTGGTTTCTGGAACAAAACATTTTTCAGGATGCTCAGTTCATACATGTAGTGTAAGGTGCTCTTCATTTCCTTGTTAGTAAAAGCCTGAAAAGCTATTGCAGACTGCCTTGTATAAATTTTGCAGAGTAAGTACATGTAGCTTTTATCAGGTTTTTTCCATTAACCAGTTGATGGCACCAGCTGATAGCAATATTGATCTAAACAAGTAAAAGGAGAGACTTATGTATCAGTTAATCTGTAGTTATTTATATCTGTGTTTTTCTCCTGCTGGGCCAAGCTCCACCAAAGAAGGTGCTGCAGGGTATCAAGAAAACCCCCAGATCCCTGTGGTCATTTGACTTTGGAGCTTAAGGTGAAGCATAGAGACTTTGCAAAGGAATCAAGATGTAACAGGGACCAGAAAGGTTGAGAGGCATGACTCATGTGATGTTCCTATAGTAGTTTATTAATAGCTTGCTGAGTAGCTGCCCAGTTGACAGACTTATGACTTGTCTTGGATTTTTTAGCATGAAAGGAGTTAAAAGCCATTAGCTGTAAATGGACATCCTTAAATGAGGAATGGGCAGTATACAGACAGCTGTATTTGTGGGATTCTGTTGTCTAGCTCCTGGCTCTAAGGTTTATTTACAATGTTCTCACTTAGGGGCTGCCCTGGTTCCTTGATTTCATCATGTGAAGTGAGGAACAGGAGTCCAGACCAGTGTCAGGGCAGTGCTGTTACACAGCTGTCCACTGGTACACCATGTGGTCTGGCTTCAGGGAAGTTTATTAGTGTTGGTGACCTTTATTCCACCTGGTATTTCAGTGGGCATTGAATCAAAGGAAGCTCTAGAGTAAATGTGACAGGATTAAGAGGGATTCTTACAGCATAAAAATAAACAAATATATTGAAAACATGGTAAATAGCCTATTTGTCTTTAGGCTGAAAGATTGTTAAGGCCATAGGGGCAAGTGAATACATTACTGAGAAAACAGCAGTGCGATGTGAAATATTAAGTGGGTATCAATCTTGTTAGCAGGCTCTAATGCAGTGAATTTCCACTTTCAGCATAGCAGAATGAAAGCACTGAATTGTTTTAGTGTGTAGCAGTGCAGAGATCTCAGATTCTGGTCAGAATATACCCCTTATTATAATTTCAAGGATAATAACAGCTGATTTTCTGACTGCTGTTTCCCATGAGTTGGCAGCGAAACATTTTGCCCTGAACCTTTGTCCCAAAGTCTATGGTCCTCTTTATAATGCTGACTTTATCTTGGCTGCTGTCTACCTATAGTCTAATAAGCATGTTCTCACATCAACCTGCATGTATTTTAACTTCTCATTTGCTTTTCTCTTGAAGAAAATAAAAACAGTGTGACAGAGGTGTTTTTTGAGCTGGAGAAAAACAGACAGACTTAATGCTCAACTCCGAGAGCATTTGCCATCAGTTGAATGCAGAGCTGTTGTGCCAGATTGACTTACTAAAGGGAGAGTAGCTGACAAATGAGCTGCTAATTTTATCTTTCAGTTCAAGAACTGTGTTTTCACCAACTTGGCTCTGGTGGGGTAGCTGAGTGCTGTGTTTTAAATTGGTGAATGTGGGTACTCTTACAGTAGGGATGCTAATGTTTTTTGGTCTGGATTGGGTTAGTCAGCGGATTTGCTTGAGCTGTGTTACGGTATGCAGCATGTAGCCTGTCTGACCACTGGAGAAAGTTTGGGTTTTAGTTAATAATAAACCCCAGATTCAATACTAATCAGCTCTGGCTGAGCTGTAGTGTGTTTCTGATCTTTGTTTCAAGGTGAACCAGTAATTACTCTATCTTCTGTTAATTTGCTGATTTGAAGAGAAGGCAGTCTGGAAAGCAGGCTTTGTAATCATCAAGTGCATCATGTAGAACTGCAGCATTCATTTAAAGAGGAGGGGGGCAAAAAACAGTAGTGGGTTGATAATTTTTCAGAAATAGCCTGAGGATTAAGCATCATCTAAACTGTCAGCACGTATGCAGGGATTCATGGCACAGTGTGTTTGTTCTCTGTCTTGAGCCAGCTTTTAACAGGGTGCAGTATAATTGGAGCTGAACATTCATCCACGTCAGGTTGCATATAGTAGAATTAAAGCTGCATAAATAGGATGGAATGAATGTTTGTGAATTACACGTTTGTATATAAAAATGGGGGAGGGACACTGAGATAATGCATTCAAATTTTCTTTGAGAGTTCAGACTTAATAATGGCAACTTTTCTTGCTTGCTTTCTAATGTTTTGAAAGTGCTAGTACTTTAGACCTTGGCCTGTATGTGTGGCCTGCAGTGATTACTTTTGGGATGTAGAGGCTGAAATGTATCTGGTAAAACATGTACAAGCAAAAGAGTGGGAAGAAATGGGAGAACCTAATCCTTTCATTTTAGAAACAAAGTCTCAAGACTTGTTTTCTTCAGGCAAAATCGTAAAATAGCTCTTCATCTATGTCTACAGGTCACAGAAGATACTGCAAATTATTATGGCTCTGTTTTTGAAAACGAAATGTAATATAGGGACTCTATAGAAGGGTTCCCCAAATCATGCAGGAGGGGGATATTGCTTTACTGAGACATAAAAAAGAACTTTCTCTAACACTATGTCAGCATCCTGCCATCTTAATGTGCCAGAGGATTGGTCACAGAGACTTGGGTTAGTCATTCTCAGTGTTCTTTGTGAATGCTTGTGTCTGACAACTTGGAAATGGTTGCTTCTGAGTTGATGACTTTGGAATATCACAGGGAGAAGAAAATTGTGTGGAGAGAGGAGATGCATAGACACACTCATACCCATCAACTTACAGCTAAAGAGTTGCTGAGAATGGGTTCTGCCTTTTGCTTGTTTTCAAGCTTTTACTAATGATACTTAAGATAGCCAGCAAAGAACTTCAGTAGAAAATGTCAGTTGGCATAAAAATTATGCTTTTCCACTGGTCATGCAGAGATGGTTTTTGTTCTGTCTTGTCACTAGATGTGTGCATCATTCTAATGGAAAACTGAGGTTTAATTTTGAGTGCCAAATCATCTTCATTTTAATATGCAGGCGTTGGTGCATAAGCCATGCCTGGCTTCCTGGTGAGGTTGTGAAAATGCCCTTTACATCATCCAGTAGCCATCCTTGTGGACAAATTGAGGCAAACAGCTTTGTTTCCTGCAAGAGTGCCATTTCATCCCTGGCTGGAAGAGTGGTGGCTTTGCTCAGTGTCTCAAGGGCATACTTAAATCAGGTTGAGCTCTCCGGTCAGCTTCATTGTTTGTACTGTGGTTTGACCATGGTTCCACCTGATTCTCACCTGGGCGGAGAATGGCAGGATTCATAATATGTTCTTTTGGAGTCACGTACACTCGGGCATTGTCACCTCTTTCTCGCTATGATCTCATCAGATCTTGCGAGCTTCAGAAGGGTGGGGCCTGGCTGGTGTGCCTGGATGGGATGCTTCCAGCAGAAACACAGGATGCTAAAGGAAATGGTGCTGATGATTCAGTAAATGCCACTCTTCCTTCTGAGTCAGCCATGGAGCAGAACATAAGGCCCCTGCAAAAGGGCACCAAGATAGTGCTTTGCTGTCAAGATGGGGTGGAAAATCTGAAGTTCTGACAACTTGTGCTATTAAAAATCTTTGGGAACAATAATGATGTTTGCCCATATATTCTGACAATGTTCCAGGAATTACTTTCTGGTCAGCTACATTCCTCCTGGCAGTTTGAGCTCCTTGCAATTAACTTCCCTTCACTTCCTGTCCTAAACTGCTACTGCTGAGTATCTGTGTGCTGTTAAAACAGCTGCTGTATTTCTGTGGTAGTTGAAATGGCCCCTGTTTATAAATTCAGAAGTTTCTGAAGCTTGCTTGAGGGATCTGTCAGATGATAAATGTATAAATGCAAGTTATTCTGTTACCAGTACTTGGGATGGATTATTTTTTTCCACCCTCATCGCTGACAGCTTTTTAGTCCTTTTACATTGATATTCCTTCTGATTGTTTTGTTCTCTTTTGTCTACAGGAAACAAAAGAAGAGAAGTCTTCCTATACCTGTCCTCTGTGTGAAAAGATTTGCACTACACAGCACCAGCTAACTATGCACATTCGTCAGGTATGCAGAGTACCAGCTCTTGATTTCTTACTTTTATTAAGAGTGTTTCATTTGCCAGGTTGCATTTTGCAGTGATGAAAAGCAATTCCATGTGCAAGCCAATGAAATGCTTCTATCGTTTTGCTTTTATTTTAGCCTTCCCTTGTATTTTCTTAAAAAAGTACACCACACAAACCTAATCCTGAGGTGGGTGATTTTCCTCCCTTCCTTGCCTGGCATTCCATCCCCCACCCAGTGGCTCAAACAAGGATATGTGTCCTGTTCTGCATAGCTTAAGGTATCCTAAGGATCCGGAAAAGCATTTTCATCATGAGGCCTAAGTCCTGTTTTATTATCCTGTTTGAGTACAGATATTTTTACTGGTCATGCAAATTAAGAAGCAGGAAGACATAATTTTTAAATCAACTCCGTGCAGAAGAGCCTCTCAGTCTTTCATAGGATATGGCAGTTTTAGGAGGCCTTTTTTTTTTTTTTTTAACTGGATAATGCACATTTTTATTGGCTACAGGCCTGTTCTTGCTCCTCCTGAAAGATATGCATACTTAATAAGAAGGTTTGCCCTTCTCTCTAGCAGAAGGTTCTGCTTTGGATGCTAAGGTGTGGTTGATGACTGGCTTCACTTTATTATTTCAGCTTTTCCTCCTGTATTTTAACAGTTGCTTAATTATTTTTTCTTACTCTTCGAATGTTTTTTGGTTTGGGGTTTTTCTTGTATGTGAAGAAATCTCCAATCTCTGAATGCACGTGAGAAAGAGTGTACATATAGCACAGTAGCTAATGGCCGTAACTTGACCTTGTAATGCAATCTTATGGCCATAGAAGTCTGCATGTACACTCAGAAGTAGTTTAGTTTTGTTGTCTTACTATGCAGTAAGTTTAAAATTAATATCTTTAAAGAGTATTTACTTTTAACTGTCTTCTGCTGTGAAGTTTGTAATTCCATCCTCTTTCCTTACCACTCATACAGCCCCAAACCACTGCACAGCCTAAAGTGTCCCAAGATACCATTTGGCTGATGGGTTGTTGTTGAGTCCCTCTGTATCTTCTTTTGCTGCAGACCTAGCAGAAATGCTGCATTGCAGGCTGTATGAAACAGCTACTTGTGCTGGTCCATTAAGGGTTTAAAGATGAGGGGGGAGGAGGGCTGGGGAGGAGAGGTATCTACAGGGCACACCTTCATATAAGGTACTGTGCCAAGTGGCTCTTTAGAGCTGCTTAATTTGTTTATAGTTCTTGCTGATATTTTACTGGCACTTCAGAAGGGGTGTTCAATGTAAAAAAAAAAATCATTGCTTTCTCCAGCATAACACTGACACTGGAGGGACAGACCATTCCTGCAGCATCTGTGGAAAGTCTCTGAGCTCAGCGAGCTCCCTTGATCGCCACATGCTGGTGCACTCAGGTGAAAGGCCTTATAAATGTTCAGTATGTGGACAGTCCTTCACCACCAATGGAAACATGCACAGGTGAGTGCTGATTGTGTCCCAGGAGTTTGGAAAGGATTACAGGGTAGGGGGCTGTTTTGTTTCCTTGGAGGGACTAGCAAGCTGACTAAAGACACTTGGGCAGGAAATGTGGAGTATCTGTGACCTACAAATGTGGCATAACACATACGGGTACTAGGATGTTTAAGTAGTGGGAGGAAATCAGAATACAGAAAGATCTTCTAGTTTTCTTTAAGTATTACCAAGAGTTGTTACAGCTTTTTTTTGTTTTGTTTTGTTTTGTTTTGTTTTTCAGTAATAGTAGTAGTATGACATGGATTTATCTCAGGGGATAAAAATATATACCCAAGCTATATAGGAGTTTCCAGTTTTGTAACTTCAGAGTCATGGATTCGAGTGGTTGTATTAGAACATCTGGGGTTTTGTTGGTGTTATGTACTTAGGTATCCAAATGCCATCACGAAGATGCCTCTTTGGTATATTTATCTTGTTTTTAAATACATACATCAATATTTGTTTACACTCTAGAAAACTTATTGTACTATAGATCTGACAAATTCTCTGTACAAATTTCCAAATGAAGTTTACTTTGTAGGGTTGTAGCAATATGTACAATTGTCAACTGGGGAGCAAAATGTTAAAGCACATGGATTTTCCTTCCCCTCTCTCATCCCTTGATTCAGTATTCATTTATTTGCATGGGTGGAACATCTCAGAACTGATTAAGACTTCGTGGATTCCCACATAGCTTTAGTCCCCATATCAAAGAGTTTACAACCTACAAAGAAACTGTAAGACAGGTGGGGGAAAAGAATATTGCTTACAAGCAAAAAGGACAGGAGTGATGGTTACAGACTGGTTCTGTGTGGAAAGGAAGAGGTCTTGTTTCCCTGATTATTACCAATCATTTTCCAAGCAGTGTGCTATAGGTGGAATGAAAGGGTGATTTTGGTGACAGTAGGAAAGATAACATAGTCCTGCACAGTGGGCATAATACCTGCTTGCAGCATTACCTTTTCTGTATCATTTTGCTCATGTTAAACACTTGGGTGAAAAGAGAAAGAATGCAGTTCAGTAATTCCATATTTATTTAACTTACAATTGATTGGAATTGGGGAGAGTTGGCAAGATAGATAAAAAATGAGAAGGGAAAAAAAACACTAAGAGATACTGGCCTTGGGCACTGAATAAATCACACATCTGACTCATCTGACCAGAGGTGTTGTGAGCCACGTTTTCCAGGTCGGGTCATTAGTCTGTGTGACGTGGGGAAGGCAGGGCCACTGCTGAGTTGCAGCTGATGCCATTGTCAGTATCCAAGGGTGACTTCCAGTGGTGGAACTCTGGGATGGTCAGTCACTTGTGTCTGGGCAGCTTGCTGGAGGACTGCTTGTGTGTATTTGGGGTTTTGCTCACTGGGTATCTCTTATGCCCTCCTAGAAGCAGGAAAGGGAGACTTCCCCTGAAACTTGAATCCAGGCCTATGAGAGATTTAGTCACCTTTGTTTATGCAGGTTTCCCTGTATAGAAATTCTTAGTATGATTTTGTAGCAAATTTATAGCTAGAAATGCCAGACTCAGTGACTTGCCCAAAAGAAGTAGAGATCAGAACCTTCAGATGAGAGGATAGTTTGGTTTTCATTTTTTCGCTTAACAAGATGAGGCCTGAAGTTACCGGGATGGAGTGCGGTATTTAATGACCACACTAAGAAGGACCTAAGTTCACGCAAGGAAAATCTTGATATTAAAAGGTTTTTTGTCTGATAGGTGCCTGTTGGTTCTGTTAAGCTCCTTCTTGTGCAGGGCTGCCCTGCAGCAGCAGAATGCTATTCCCAAGCTTGGTATCTCTGCAACGAGTGACCCTAGACCCATGACAAGCAAAATCCTGAGCACACTGAAATATGCTGGTTCTACTAAAGGAGAATTGTGGTGGGCAGGCTGTGCCTTCTGTTTTTTTTCAGTGAATAACCTTTTCTTGTTGCTATAACTGACTGTAATACTGGGTCTTGTTGCTGAAGGAAGACATGAATGTGCCAAGTAGGCAGATGAGGATAAATGCAAAGTGAAATCAAATTTTTTATCTGGTGCTATGACATACTCACAAGGAAGATGTTCATTTTGCCCACCAGTACCTCCTGCTGAAACAGGTATTTCTGGTCTAAGATGGTGTGAAGCAAATTTCTTTTTCAAGCATCTCAAATTTAGCTGTGGCATCATGTCCAATGGACTGTCAATGCTGTAGCTGAATGCGTCTCACATCTCATTCAAAACTCTTTCTGCCTCAGGATTCCAGAGCAAGGACCAGTTTGCCAGGTCCTGCCTCATGTGTAACTCCTGCAGGCCATGTCTGTGGTGGTGCCATGTCTGCTCTTCTGTACTGCAAGTCCACCTTTCTCCTCTCTTGTGTGCAGTTCTTTTATTGTTCTCTGGTTTTGTGCCACAGTATCTAAGTAGTGACAGATGTATGTCCAAACCAGCAAAACCAAAAAAATTCTGATGTGCCTCTGGTAGCCAGCATGGTGGTATCTCTGGACCATTGCACAACATGAGGTCAGAGAGAGGAGTTACAGGTGTAGCAAAAACTTGTGATGTGCTGGTAAAGAATCAATGTAGCTTGTGAAGGTCCTGCAGGAGCTTCCCGGGATTTACTGCAGTTACACCAAATATGCATGGTTTGCAGGAGAGGAGCAAGGGAGAAATTGGTCTTCTAGAGGGGCAGTGGGGGGGGAAAAATGTGTAGACTTTTGCCATGTTCATCCTCCCTTCTCTTTTTCCCCCTCTGCCATGTTCTGACTCTTATTTAGCTGTCGATACTATTTTTAAATCCAGACTTTTAAAAGACCTTTTAGGGGAAAAAGTTCAATGGAATAGTTTTGTCCAGGGAAATACTGTGCCATGGGAGTACTTACTGCTGTTTCCAGCAAAGAACGAAATTTCTGATCTCTCTTTCAACCTCAAAGCAGCCACATCATTAGACATTCAGCTGAGTAGAGGAGGGAAGGAGACAAGTTTTGGTTGCTTTTTTGGGTTTGAAAATGCTTACCAATGTTGTTACACTCTCAAGTGCCAACCATCTTCATCAAAAGTATTTTTTCACCACCTTCACTTTACCAAGGGAGAAAAAAACTCCAGAGCTCTTACTTGAAACTCCTTTGAATTGCAGTAAAACTTCTGTGCAACAGCCAAACTTTATTTGGAGTGAGTGAGAACACTGTTTCCTGCACATCTCTTCCTTGAGTTAGTGTAGCTGTGCTGGGGTGTTGCATGTACTCTTCACTTGTGAAATCGATGCTGGCCTTCCTGACTCCCACAATACATGCAACACTTCATTTGTAAATGAGTCATAACCTCTCACATGAAGTCCAGTTTCTTTTTGTTGTGCTCCTTGGCTCCTCATCAACAAGTTGAGTTGAATGGGCACAGCAGACTGGAGAGGAAAGTTCTCTTGTGCAACACCAGTAAGAAAAAGAGGTTAAAACCTACTTCCTTTTCTGACTAGTATAACTCTTGGCCAGGATTTTCAACAGGGAACCTTGAGCCCAGGGTAGCTCAAAAAACTTACAGGCTGCCAGGCTGTTCAGGAGTGACGTGAACCTTCTGTAGGGACAGTCGCATTTGGAGACAGCAAAGGTCTCAGTAGAGTGCTCAATGTCCAGAGCAAAAAACTGATTTTTTTCATTCTTCCTGATGAGCTGTCAGACTGTCTGCTGCCGTATCAGTGCTGCTTCTGCTATTTGTAGAGAGATGGTGCAAGCTGATACAACAGCTGGAAGACCTGTTAGTGCCTAGTATCAGCATCATTAATTGCTCTAGAGTAGAAGACCTGGAGATGATACTGAATTTTTTAGTTTTCTTTTTGACCAGTATTGGAAAGAGCAAGTCTCCTTAGAAACAGCAAGCCTTCTAGAATCAGGAGCTGGTTAGGGATGTGGGAGCATATTTTTGGGGGAGCTTTTTAAGAATCTGGAGGAAAGAGTTAGATCACAGTAGTTTTGAGTTCAACATCCCTGTAACTGGCATTGCAAAGATCAGTACGTAAGAAAATCTGCAATTTAGGATACGTCTTATCCTCACCCTTCTTTGCTAGAGAGACAGACCCTGTGGCTTTCTCTCAGTCACGGTGAATTAAAGTTGAATACTCATCTTCATCAGGAGCATAAACTATATAGAGGGGAAGGGGGTGTATGAAAAGTTTCTGTAGCTCTGTAAGAGCTGGATTTCTAGTGTACTGTCTCCACTCAAAAGATTGCAACTACTAAAGACTTTACAAATGTTTTCCATCTGTATAGTCATAGTAACTCCCTAGGGAGTTTATCTGTGAATAATCCCAACTCCAAGGAGCCCTTTTGGGTCTAGACTCTGACACCAAATAGGAGGTTTCAAGTCTCTTACTCCATCTCTACCACTGCCTATCCCCAAAATGCAGACAGAGGAGTTAGGCTGCTGCTGTGGTTGTAGTGGTGGTTTGTGAGCATTAGGAAGGGACCTTGAAGTCGAGAAAAAAATTTTACTTGTCTGACTGTGTTGCATTCAAACAGAACGTGCATCAGCCTTCAGTGGGAAGGGCGATGCCTCCACTTGCTCCAAAAGCGTTTCCTTTGGGGGTAGGACACTTTGCCAGCAGTTCCTTTTCCAGTTCTATGACTAAGGATAGTCCGTGCCTATCACTTTAAAGTCACATTTTCCTCCCTGCCAAAGACATGCTCTCCATGCAACTAGAAAATGTTAATGGGGTATAAGTGCCAAAAGGGAGGCAAGAAATGACCTTCCTGACAGTTTCCAGTGGGAAGCTATTAAAGGCTCTGTGGCAAGTCTGAAAAGAGTAAAGGAATATTACATGTGTTTCAGCCACAGCTTCCCCAGTTTGGTAAGTGAAGGAGCATTGTCCATGGCTGTTTTTCTCCAGACTGTCCATATAAATCCGGTAATGCAAATTAAGGGAAGTGTTTCATTTGAAACTAAAATGTAGCAAGTATCTATCTTCTTTCTCTTCTTCCATTCCTTGCCTCATATGTGACAAA